CCCCCTCCTTCCTGCTCTCTCTCGCTCACTGTGTCTCAAATAAAAAAATGAAATCTTTAAAAAAAAGGGGGGGGCCCTAGCAGACTGGAGAATCTGCGTGTTTATGGCAGACTGAGTTCTCCCTCCACAGGTACAACAGGTGTGCATGTGCGTGTGTTGGGGGGGGGTGATTGGCAGCAGGGGTGAGGAGCTGGAGGCCTGGTGCTGGAGCCCTCAACTGCAGGCTCAGAGGGGGCACTGGGGTAGCCTCCGGCCCCACCACACCACGCTGGGTAGTCCAGCCCCCTCCCCCGGTGGCCTGTGGGTAGGTCCGTGCTCTGGCCCAGTCCTGCGCTTCAAGATCTGCCTGGGGCCTCCCCTGGTCAGGGTTTGGTCAGAGGGACAGTTCAAAGCTGCCCTTTTTCCTCCTGGCCAGCAGGCCCCCAGTTTCCACGGCTTCCACCGAGGCCCAGGACCCTCAGTCTGGCCCTTCCCCATGGTCCGGCTTCCTCTCCCCCAACCCCCCAGCTTGATGAGGTCAGCGAACATGTATTCCAGGAATGTGGGAGGCGGGGCAGCCAGCCTGGTTTGGATAACCATCGCGGTAAATATTTGCCTAGCTCCTGGAGCCAGTACCGTCAGCCAGGGGAGGGCGAGGGGCCTGTTCCTAGGGTCATGTAAGGAGATGCTTTCCTGGGTGGATCTCTGAGGGAGGGTGAAGCCCTTTCTCCCCAGTGAGCCTGGGAGCTGGGTCTGAGGCCACCCCTCTGTGCAGGGCCCGAGACAGGGCCCCTGGCCCACAGGACCAGGCACGGTTTGGCCCATCTGTAAAATGGGAATAAGAACAGCCCCTGTGGGTAAGGCCAGCGCCACGGGAGCCGGTTCAGGGCAGCTCAGCGAGTGGGCACAGGATAGGCCCAGTTTGGGTGGGTCCCATGTGACCATGTTTTGGTCCCAGCTTGGCCACTTATGACCTTGAGGAATTGCCCCCTCCTTCAGACTTTAACAACCATCATTCCCTGACCTGCTCTTTCGTATGTGGCACCTGGACCCACACACCGTTTTGTCTTAAGCCCTCCCAGCCACCAGGGCATTATTAGCAGCATGTGACAGGGGCTCTGAACTCAGGCCCAGAGACGGAGACGCCATCCGGATGGCCACCTGCCCACAGACCACACTGGGCAGCTGGCCCCCTCCCCCGGGTAGCCTGTGGGTAAGTCAGTGCTCTGGCCAACGCAGGGCTCTACAAGGTCAGCCTGCCCGTGGTGGGCTGGTGGGCAAATAGCTGGAGGGGCCACTAGTCCCTGTTTAGAAAGGGGATGAGGACTCAGATGCCCAGTGACTTGCCCAAGGTCACCCAACATTAATGGGCAAAGCAAGGATTCCAATTCCCGCTCTGCCCACCCTTGTCCTTGACCTCACCACCGAGGACAGGACTGGGGCTCGAGGCCGGAATGTGGGTTCTGAACCTTGGGCAGCTATAGAAAACAACCAGTCACTTAGCCACAGGCCTGGAGCCGCAGACACAGAGCCAGCAGGGTGCCTGTCATCCTGGATGCCCCGTGGCACAGGCCCCTCTCTCCTCCAGCGAGCCCCGATCAGCCCTGCATCTCTCTGGGCAAGCCCCAGTCAGCTTGGCCTGGTGCCTCCCCTCAAGCCAACACCCAGGGCCATGGCATCCCTGCAGGAGGAAGGGATGGGCAGGTGGATGTGTTTGGGAGAATGTATCTGGGTCCTGGGATGCTCCCTACCCCACGGTGACCTTGGCCGTGTTCCCAGACCCAGAGTTGCCACTCTCCAGCTGTGAGACCTCTGGCAATCCTATCCTCCCTCAGAGCTCAGTTTCCTGCTCTGCAGAACAGGCACCCGTTCCTGCCCTGCCCCTGCCCCTGGGAGCTCCAGACAGGCAACGAGAATGAAAGCCTGGTTGGCCTGCGGTCTGCACGCCCCTCTCTGCCCTTGTAGCCTTGGTAGTCAGAGGCTGCCCCTCTGCCAGGTCCTCACCCCCCTACCTGCCCCTGGAGTGAGAGTCCTGAGCTAAGGATGCCAGGAGAGCCCTCTGGGCAATGGGGTTCCCACCCCGTGGGGCCACTGGGCGAGCCCCACCTCCCCGCCTTGGCCCTGAGGTTCAGCCCGTGCCCCGCCCTGCTGCATGGCACCGCGTGCCTTTGAAGCAGAGAACATTTCCCTGCGGTGGATCTGTGTTGTTTCTGGCGGTGGTCAGGCTGGGAGCAGGCCCGGTGATACCTGGTCCATCTCCCTCCTTCTACCCCTGGTCTCTAGGGTGCCAAACCCACATAGACTGTGAGCTTCATCTCAGGGGCCCCGGGGCTGGGGCAGCGGGGATGATATCAGCTCCATGTTCACAGCTCTTCCACGCCTCTGTGAGCAGTGCCCATCACCGCAGCTGGGGAGCCCGGGTGCCCAGTGCTGTCTCTGAGCTGGTCCTCTGGGAACAGGCCGAGCATGGGTGGGGCAGACAGCCTGCCACACTTGTCATGGCTGTGTTCTTGTTACTTATTAGCTCCTTATTACCTGTGTGACCTCAGGAAGTTATAGAACCTCTCTGGGCATCATGTGTAAATTGGGGGTGCCAGTTTAGTTTCTGCCTCATAGCATTTACCAAAGGTTAAAGAAATATCCCAGGCAGAACCCCAATATGGACTCAATAAAGGCAGGCCCCCTAGTCCTGTCTCTTTCCCAGACTCACAGGGAAGGGGGCTCATTTCCCAGCCAGGGCCTGAGTTTATATCCTGGTGCAGCCCCCAACCTATCTGTGCACTTGCTGTGTGACCTTGGATACGTCTCTTCCCCTCTCTGGTCTGTGTGCCCCTTTGCCCAAGCCCAACAAAGAGCCTGGGGGGCTGAGGGCACGTGCGTGTATGCTGTGAGCTGGAGCACCCCTGAGTGGCAGGATGGGCGGGTGTCATTCCTTGGGGCCTGGACGCGGCTCACTGGGTGAGTGAGGGCTTTCCAGCTCTGGCTTCGATCTCAGCTGCCAAAATCATGATTTTCTCTCTGTCAGCGGGTCTGCAGGCCAGCTCGCCTTTGGGAAAGGCCTGAGCTGTGGGTGGTGGAGAAGCAGGGCGCTGATTCCAGTTCTGCCCCAGCCACTGACTTGCTGCGTGAACCTGCAGTGGGGGTGGTCACGGCCCCTCTTCAGGCCTCAGATCCCTCCTCTGAGAAATGGGAGAGCCGGAGTCCATGAATACCAGGACTGTTTGTGTTCCCGCGTCAAGTGGTTAGCAGGTTGCCAGAGCCAAAGGGTCGGGGTGCAGAGACATTGTCTTTTGCTGCTAGGACAGGGATGCCGGCCCTGGCCTTAGGAGCTTGGGGCTTAGGGGCCTAATGCTCTGTGGAGCCTGGCACCAGCCCCTGCAAGGTCATTGCTGCCCCAGCTGACCTACCCAGAACGCTGCCTGCGTATCCAGCACTCGTGTGTGCTACTCTCTACAGTCCGTACAACACTTTGAGGGAGGTTCCCATCCCACAGATGAGAAAACTGAGGCAACAAAGAGGTTTAAGAAATTAGCCCAGAGCCACACACTTGGTAAGAGGGGTGAAACCCAGACCTGAAACAGCCACAGCCCACGCTTGTCTTCCTGGGTGTGCCTGCTGCTGCCGAGTGCAGTGGGCCGGGTCCGAGGCCTCCCGCGGCCCCGTGGCATGTGTGGGAGCCCACGATTCATGTGGCCTGCGCACTCCTCCTTCCTGTTAGCCATGGGGCTCACCCCGAGAGGCGCTCAGCCCACAGTCAGGTTTCCCATTTCTTAGAGGACGCACAGCCCCGGAGAAGTATGGCAGTTGCCTGGAGCCACCTAGTGAGGCGCCCCCGTCGCTGGGACTCAAATGTGAGGTTCGGGGGCCAGCACCTTGTAGCCAGGGCTCCAGAGAAACCCCCCTGCTGGACCTCGGGGTTGGGCTGTCCACGATCCCTACGGGGAGCGGAGCAGAGCGAGGAGTGCTGGTGGCCCTTGAGGAGATGGGCAAGCAGGACCCCTCCCCACCCCGTGAGGGCAGTCGTGCCCCAGCAACAGTGGGGGGCAGGGGTGCTCCCTCGCTCTGTCGTCTCCCCGAGCCCTGTGCACCAGCAGTTCCGGCGACTCTGCCTGCTGCCCCCTCTGCTACGAGCCCCACCGTCTCCGGCCTTGCCCCCTGGAACAGACTCCACGCCGGTCTCCCTGCCTCCTCCTGTCCCTCCCGAGCCCTTCTCCCCCCACAGCCACGGGATCTTCTCAAACCAGAACTAGGGTCATGTCCCTCAGCTGTTCAGACCCTCCTGGGGCTCCTGTCCACCTCTCAGTGATTGGCCATCCACTTGACCCCCACTCGCCCCACCTCTCCTTCCCTCACCACCCCTACCGCCCACCCACTCTCAACTCCTCCTCCTGAATCCAGGCTTTTTTCCCTGTTTTCAAGTCTTCTCATATACTGTTCCCTCTGCTTGGAATGCTGTTCCATGCATCTTGGCCTGCCTCTCTCTGGCTCATCCTTCAACTTTACTTCCCCAGAGAGGCTCCCCTGAACCTTGAGTCTGGGTTGTGTAGTGCCTGTAACTCGTTCTTTCTGGCAGATGCCTCTTCTAGTTAGGTAGTGTCTAATTATCACAATCCCCGCAAGGCCAGGGGCCACCATCCGAGTCACAGCTCAGGGTGGTGGTTCAGGGTTTCTGGAGCAAATGAGTGAATGCCCGAGTGCTTCCATCACCATATGTCCTCAGATGCTCCTAGAGACCCTGAGAGAGATTGTGATCCACCTGTCAATTTGACAGGTGAGGCCAGAAGCATATCCACATAGCTGGTAACTGGCTGATGTGGGGCGTTGGGGGGCTGCTGAGTCAGGGCACCCCATCCTTGTGCCCCTCGGCCTCTCAGTCCCTCTGAGTCTCTGCCTGTCAAATGGGGATGACTGGGTTTTGCTGGCAGTAAACTTTCCAGTAGGTGGGCGGGTGGGTGGTGGCGACCCAGTCAGTTCCAGGCCCTGCAGCGAGGGGCCCCACTGACCACCCCTTCCTATTGCAGCAGGATGGAACTGGAGTGAGGCGGAGGGGCTGAGCACTGCTGATCAGACGTGGGACGCTGGTGGTTCGCGGGTCACTGAGGTAGGTGTGCAGCGGGGCTCGTGGGGGCAGCCTTGGCCCGGATGCTTGGAGAAGGGGTAGGCATGTCCTGAGTGGGGAGCGGGTGCTGGCCCCGGCATCCTGCCTGCACCTTTGCCTGGGCCTCCATCTTCATGCGTGGCATGGGGTGCAGCCAGGCTTAGACCTCATCAGCCCCCAGAAGGGCCCCCAGAGGCCTCTAAGGCCTGACCTTTCTCTAGAGTGGCTGCCAGGGCAGGGGGTGGGGGAATGCAGCCAGGGAAGGGGGCAGGTTTGGTGTCCCCAGCCTTGACCCAGCAGCTCCGTCTGTACCATTCAGCCTCATGGCGCATGGGCCCCATCTGCTGAGCAACATGGCGGCCACGCAGGAAGAGGCCTGGGTGAGCAGAGAGGCCTGTTTGCTGGGAGCTGTGGCTGCCTGCCCCCTTCTCTGCCACAGACACACCCAGGCGCACACACAGATCTCTGGGCTCTGGAGTCAGAGTGACTGCGTTCAAATCCTGGCTCTGCCACTTGTCCACCATGACCTTGTGTGGTTTCTCGGGGCCTCGATTTCCCCGTGTGCAGAAGAGGGAGGGGTTCACAGCACCTGCCCCCACAGGTGCGCCTGCGCACCTGGTACCAGTATGCGTGCAGGAGGATAGGCCAGCATTCTTGTCCAGGGTGCGGGGACCCTTCCTTCTTTCTGGACACCTCGGTTCCCACCAGCCCCTCCTCCCTGAGCACGCATCAATGCCAGAATGGACACAAACTGGTCATCCACCATAATGAGAGTCTCGGGGCTCCCCGGGGAGCTCCTGAGAGTAGCTGGAGCCAGAAGGTCCTGGGGTTGAGCCTCCCGGCCCTGCGCTGGCCTGGACACCGGCGTGTCTCATCACAGAGTGTCATTTCAGGGTTGATCACACTTGGCCCCATGTCAGAGGGTGACCTGTGTAATCCCTCTTTACTCTGTGGCTCCCAACCCAGCGATGAGAGGCCCTCACAAAAGTGCTGACTTGGGCCAGGGCCCTTTGTCCCAAGGCTCTGGGGCGCAGCCAGGGGAGGCAGAGTCTTTGCTCTGGCACGAGGCCTCGCCCAATCATCTCCCTGCTGCCCTCAGCTCCTCTCCTGAGGCCCCTTGTGCTCTCAGGTGCCCTGACACAGGGCCGGGTGAGCCCTGGGATGCTCCACACTACCGTTGGGCTCTGGAACCAGGGAGCGGGAGATCCCAGCTCCCTGCTATCAGCCCATGACCTTGGGCTGGTCCTTTCACTCCTATGAGAGTGAAGCCAGTATTCTCATCTGAAAATGAGGGTAATTATACCAACACTGCTGAGAAGGCCATTATGGGGGTGCTTGGAAGCCTGAGATATTTTTAAATGTTAGAGCTTAGTGAGAGTCTACTGTGTACCAGGCACTATGCTGCTTAAATACATATTTCTCCCAGCAGTAATCCCGTGAGGAGGTGTGTTTAGTGCCTCGTTCTCCAGAGGCTCAAAGTGGTTAAGAAACCCATAGAGCTGTAAGTATTGGCATGGGGATTTGAACCGTGGAATTAAGTGGTCCACGATGCCGTAGAGACCAGGGGCTGAGCCACTGGCAGGCCCAAGGTGGGTGCTCAGGAACCCAACTCCCTTTCTGCCTGGCGCCTTTGCCTGGTCCTCTAAGCCCGGCTGCCCTCGGGAGCCAGAGGGTGGCCCCCGAAGTCTGGCAGCCGCCCCTCCCCAGAGGGCCTGCCAGCAACTCGATAAGGCTAGGGGAACCTGCTGCTAATTGTGGGGTAACCTCTGAAATTCTCCTTCACGGTGGGTTCTCTTTTCGGATGTTTTTCAAGGTAATTCATTCCCTTTCCAGAAATTGCCAGTGGCAGAGCATTAGGCAGCTGGTAATTAATCATAGGAGAGGCTTGGAGTTTAGTCTTTAAAAAGAAAAAAAAGAGAGAAGGAAGACTAGAAAGCCTTGATGGAAAAAGAAAAGGAAAGAAAACCACTCCAAGGCAAGGGTGGTAATCAATACCTCAGTGTCCTAGAAACGGCGGGGGGGGGGGGGGGGTGGCCACCAGGCCGCCCCTCCCTTTTCTCCTGGGGCTGACAGATGCTCAGTGCCTGCAGCGGTGTACGTGAGCTCTACCTTTCGCCTGCTGCTCCTTGGGCCACTTGGAGCAAGGCACTGCCTCTCCTTGGACTCAGCTCTGCCGCCTGTAAAATGGGTGAAGGGCAGGTGGCAGACTAGAAAAGAAGACTAAATGATTTGTTCCCTGCATCCTGGTGCCCGGCACAGGGTCGTTGCCCAGCTGATATTTTATTAACTGAGTGAGGGAGTGAATGAAAGAATGATTTTCTTGGTCCTCATTAGCTGTCACAGTCGAGGAGATGGTACTGGCTCTAGGACATTGTTTCTCTAGTTTTGTTACAATTCAGAGTGACAGCCGGAGTGAGGGGCCAGGTCTGTTGCTTTGCAAACTCCTGATAAAAGGACACTCTTGCCCAGCAGACCCTGGTCGGCAGAGCTCAGGCCCTTCAGTGGCAACCACGCTGTCTCCCTGGCATCCTCGGGTTCAACTTGCCAAGAGTCTGAGCTGTCTGGAGATTTTTTTTTTTTTTTTTTTTTTTTTGAGTTGCCTTCTGGGTGGATAGTGAGTTCCTCATCACCAAAAGTATGCGAGCTGGGACTGCACAGGGCACTCAGGCAGCAGACTGGGCCGGGGTGGGGGGCGCTCAGAGCATTCCTGAGTTTGAGAGAGAACATGAGGTTCTCCAGGGTGGACACAGGGGAGGCTGGACCAGCAGACAGGGGAGCCCCTTCCCAGAGGTCCCCTCGGGAGGGCTGGAGGAGGCCGCTGAGAAGGGGGGTGGTGGCCGTGCAGGACACCTACGCTTTGGTGCTTATTCCCTCTGGGGGTAAGGAGGGGTGTGTGTGTGTCTCTCTCTCTGTCTCTTTCTAGATGGTTCTCTATGTGCATGTGCCTCTCTCCTGCCCAGCTCCCCTGTCTTCTCACATGGGCAGCCCCACTCTGCCTCCTTAGTTCACCCACTTTCTCCCTGTCCAGTCACATCCACAGCTTCCCCTGGAGCTCCCTCTGCAACTTCTTTCTGAGCCCCAGGACCTTCTCACGTCTGCTCTCCTTACCCTCAGAGGCACCCCTAGCCAGGCGTCCCCGCCGACATCTGCTCTCTGTCATCGCCTCTCTTGTCCCCAGGACTGAGCAGACCTGAGAATTCCCGGACTTCCAACCTGCCGCCCTTGGCCTTGTTCTTCCAGCTCTGGCAGCGCCCTGCTCCCTCTCACCCTGCTCTTTGGAGGGATCCGAGCCAGTGCCCCCCACTCCCAGCCTCAGGGGTGGCGCACTCTGTGTGGCCCGTCCCCAGTGCCCCACCGTGCCACCCTGTGCTGTCCTGGCACATGGGCTTCTGGCCACAGGCGAAAGCAGGGAAGTGAGAGGGGGCCTGTGGCCACTAACAGGGGCACTTGGAACCTGGCATTTCCCTCCAGTGCTCATAAAACTGCGACTATTATTAGAAGTGAGGTGTCCAGGAGCTGGCTGCCTGGCGGGAGCCTGCGTATGCTCAGGAAGGAATAAGCTGTCCTCTCTGGAGGGGAGAAGGAAGCAGAGGGTGGACTCCCAGAGAACCACGGGCCGGAGGGTCTCCAAGGCCGGCGGAGTAGGCCGGTGTGTTCTGGTGGCCAGGCGCCTCCATTCCGCTGGACACCCTCTGGGAGCTCCCTCGGTCCCTGTCCCTGGCCAGTCACTCTTCCTGGGAGCACCTGCGGACCCCGCCTGGTGTCGGAAGCCACCGCCATCTGCCCCCGCCTCCTCGCATGGCCCTGACACACCCCAGCTGTCTGCCAGCTTCACTGCGCCACCCCCTCCCCACCTTCGTCACACGTCCCCACGGCCACACCTTTGCTCCTGCACTTCCTTCTGCCTTGAGAGCCCTCCACCCTTGTTGCTGCGCAGCCTGAACCTTTTGGAGCCTTCCTCAAGCCCTGCTTCCTCCGCAAGGTCAGACATGGCCTCCTGCCCCCCCAGGCCCCACGGCCTCCACTCCCCAGAGGCCCTGGTCATTTCCTCCCTGAACTCTTCTGAACTCGAAACCCTCTTTATGCTCTTAGGCCCTTCAGAGTGCTCACCAGACGGCCTACCACCTCGTCTTTTCTTTTGTCTTGATTATGTATCGGAAGGATGACATACTGGCTCATTTGTACTCTGTTTTCCTTTGAAACCTGGTGTCTATTTAATACCCACACCACATGCAGACTCGTGTTCAGTTGCCGCGTGTGGTTTCCTCATTTGCAGGGGGGGAAACTGAGGCTGGGGAAGGAAATCTTGCAGATGAGAATCAGCAGAGTGAGCACCTTCTCTGTAGGCCAGGCTGCCACCATCCTGCCATTCAAAATAGGACAGGGGCATGCCACACTGGTTATAAAGGTAAACTGAGGCAGGCAGGACTGTGGCCAGTACCTAGGCAACCAGACCTCAAGAGGAATGGAGGGAACGTGTTATGAGTTCCATTCCCCTCACAGTGGGTTCCAGTGTTCCTGGTGCTTCCCTACCTAATCCCCAAACAGCCCTATACCAAGGGGACAGTCACGGGCTGTGCCTCACGGGGATCAGCGCTGCCCCTCATCACTCCAGACACAGCATGCAGGCTAGAACACTGGGGTTCAGGGGGTGAGAGCACCCAGCTCCTCCCAGGAAGAGAGGATACCCCTGTCCTCCCCTCCCTCCCACACCACCCAGGCTGCAGTCTGAACTGCAGGAGGGCCCAAAGTGTGTGTTCCTGGGAACCCAGAGGATTCCCACAGGGTGGGGAGATGCCTGGGGCGGGGCTGGCTGTGGGAGGGGGAGGAGGGAATTGTCTCCCCGGAGCCTGGCCCCGCCCCTGCCAGCCTGGAGGGACCTCTCAGGAGGGCACAGGCAGCAGAATAGCCCTTCAGGAGCCAATTTTTGCCTTTAGTACCCGCAGCCGCCTCCGGCTGCACTTTGCAGCCTCCTCCGCTGACAGTCGGACTCTGGTTTGCCT